TTTTGTTTTGTTTTGTTTTATCTCTTTCCTCTGGGATCAGCTTTTCTGTAGATTTATCTTGGTCTTTTATGTTTTGGTGTTTTGGATATGCTTTATGATGCTACATTTTCCATTTATATTTAAGGAAGAAAGATTTGGGTCACTGTTTTGACTCTCTGGACTGTTTTGTAAATCACTTTCATTCCTTCCAAGTCTTTGCTTGTAGTAGAAACTCTTGGAGCTCCTTGTGAGACAAGACAAGGAATGTTAACTAAGGGGCTACTGGACTGGGAGCTCCTCACATGTCAGAACTGAGAACAGCATCATGTCATATCTTAAATGTTATCCACCCCTAGGTTATCCCAGCCATCCATCCATTTCTTTAGAAAGGATGCAGCTCCTATGCTAAGGCACCCATTGTTGCACAGGTGATAGAGGGAGGACAGCATGGCTGGTTGCTGTACGAGCTTCATGAACAGAGCTCCCATGAATCCCCTGGCTTTCTTCTCTACTTCTCATCCTCCATCTCTGTCACACCTGCAGACCAGACACCTAGCACCTTTCCAGCATCCATTATGGAAATTTCCCTGGCTCCTCCAGGGTGCTTCTGAATGTATCTGGAGGGGCAGGTTTTCTTTGCATTTTCCTCCTATCAACACATTCCCTTATACTTTGTTTCTCTCATAAATCTTTCGAAGTTTCTCCACTGTATGTGCCCTTCATTTTCCTTTGCTTTACTGTCATAAGACTTAAGTATTTTTGCATTTCCATACTTCAATTTCAGTGGCATCATGGGTTTGATGGCTCGAGGGTACATATGTACTCAGTCCATCATTGGGAACAAGAAGCCCAATATATTATCATTTAAAACGTGTTTGGGAAAATTATTCTCTAAAATACGGCCCTAATACAATGTAAAATATATTTGCAGCTGGGGAGGTTTGTTCTGGTTATCTAATTGTGTGCATGATACCAAACATCAAGTCAAAAGTTAAAAAAAATAAATAAAAATATATGTAGTTACAACCTATGTTTTCAGAAATTGAAAATTATCAATAAACTGATCCTATGCAGTATGAAAAAATTATTAGCTGCTTAGGCTTAGTAATCAGACCACCTGGATTTTAATTTTGTATCTGCGACTTGCTTACTATGTAAGTGGCAAGTTTCTTAACTTCTTTGTGCATCGGTGTCCTAAACCATAAAATAGGTTTCACAGAAGATTGGCTTGTGTATTAAATTAGTTGAGTGAGTGTTTAGAAAGAGCCTGACACATGCTGAACACTCAGGTAAATATTAACTGTTACTATTAATTTCATCTGATGATACAGGAAGTATAAACTCAGAAGATGAGTAAGTGAAGGAAATTAGTTTGCTGGATGCTTTTGGCAAGTTTGTTTGAGTTTTGTCTATAACAATAAATTGTCATCCTAGTCAGGATTATGATTATAAAGAGCCTTTCATTTGAAGTAAGCACTACTTATACAACTGTTTATCTCCTATCACTTCAGGTGGTTTACCAGGTTCTTTTAGGCAGTGCTGGAAATGTAGGGGGAAATGACAGAATGGTTTGCTTAGAAGATAAGATCATGAGTAACCTGAGAAGCAAAATAAGAACAATTTATGACCAGATATGAACCCCTTTCATTAGCTGCCTATGAAACCTTGCCCAAAGTTTTATGTTTTATTTTAACCCAGAGAGAAAAACAATGTAGCCTTAACAGGAGGGTGAAAATATTCTGACTTAGCAAAAAGTTCAGGAATCCTTAATATTTTCATTAATCCTTGAAGTTTATTGCTATGGTATTCCATATATGTTAATTTGCCAGTTAATACATTAATTGATTGACAATTACAATAGTCAGTAAGGGATAGCACTGTTTGCTATCTTATTGATATATTATTTCTATATTTAATCGAAAATACCAAAGTGAAATGTAAGTACTTAAGATTTACCCTCAAACCCTTGGAACTTTTGACTCAGGACTCTGCTATTTCACAGGAATTTAGTAACTAAATCCTAGATGCATGGCAGCAGTTTTGAGCACAATCTGGAAACATTGAGTGAATATCTTTGAGAGTGTTGTGAAAAAAAGTATATAGGAAAAGAGCTAGTTACAGTTTTTTGAGAAACAAAAAGCTACTATGGAAATACCACTGAATAGTTTAAAAATATTTTTTATAAATTTTAAAACAATTCTGAAAAGCATTATGCCTTTGCTCATAAAGCCATTTGTTTATTAGCATGAGTTTTAGAAGACCAAATCCTATTTCAAATACTTGTTTGGAGTTTGTGTTGAAGTTTTCCAAGGGCAGAGTTTAACCACAGCAAGAGATTATTACATCTTGCACTTCAATTTGCATTCGTTAAGATGCAATTCTTAAAATGGTGGTAAGGGGGGAATATTTCATTAAGATCTTTCCAACTACCCATGATTTCATGTTCCTGCAAACATAATCTATACCTTTCTAGTCAAAGGAAAATGAAAGAGGTTGGGTGACTCTCAGTCTACCCATGTGACTTCTAGATGAAGATCTGTGAAATAGTGAGAACCAGATTTCCCAGAATTGGCCCTGCCCCTACCCAGCCCCCATCAAGACTGAGTTTATGCACTACTTGATGTAGTTGTCATGGAGATGATTCTTATTTGTTAAATAAATGAAATAAATAGTTACAGAAAAACTAGACAATGTAAACTCTACATGTATAAATAAGTTATTTCCTTTCAAATGCCAAATGCTCTCTCTCTCTCTTTCTCTTGCTTTTGAGCTCTCTCTAATTATATAGACTCATAGTTTTCACTGACAATTTTACTCAGTAAACATTTGGGCCATCTATTGTGTGTAAAACACTATGAAACATGTGGAAAGAAGTCATATGATCCATACGGGTGAGAACAAAAAGAGGAGTTGGAGGGGGGTGGTCCTAGGTGAGATGACCCCAGAAGAAAGTTCTAGAAGCCAGAGTATTTTGCAACATAACACATGATAGTGAAGTCTAATTGAATAGATTTGCATCATATCCTAGAGGACAGAGTTCTAGAAAATGATGTATACTGGGAATCCTACATTGAAAAATTGGTTAAAAAATCAAATTACCTCATTCTTTTATATGTTCCCTATTTAACTTAGACAAACATGAGACTAGACTAAAACTTCATTCTTCTTTGGTGTTTTAAGCTATTTGCCCTGGGCCATCTCTGTGATGAGAGTGAATTAAATACTCGAAACGGCATTAATTTTCTAATTCAATCACATCTTCTCAGTTTCCTGAGGTCAGCCACAGTCATCTCTTGCGTGGGCAGCAACCATTCCTTAAATGTCCCCCTGACCACAATTTTGCAACCTCTATCCATTAGGCCCATTATATAATGCTTGATTTTTCTAAAATGCTAATCTGATGAGGTTGATTCCCTGATCAAGAACCTCAGTGGTTCTCAAACCTCTTAAAGTCTACATGTTCCATAAAGTTTTACTCAGAACTGCTTTATTTTACCATTGTTTCAGTCTGAGTCTTTCGATATCAAGGCAAAATTCTAGCATTATCTTTCATTCTGAAATAAAACCTTCCCTAACTCACTCTTCTAAGTGTCCATGCCCTATTTTAAACCCCACCCTAACACCGCATATCTGTATGCAGCACCTGTAACATCTTATTGAACGCAAATTCTTGTTTATTTGTCTGTCTCCTACAAGAATGGGCTCTCCTTTTGTCCAAGGACCTCAAATTACTATCTCATTTTTAACTTTAGCACACACTAAGCATGATGAATGTTTACAAAATGAATGCCTGAGTGAGTAACTGAATGGATGATTACATGAATGAATTGGGGAAGAACCTTTGTGTTAGTGTTCTTTACTATCTAAAGTTGAAGGTAGCCATGGGAAGTAGCGCTAACAATCATGGATGACAATATGGATACCAGTAAAGTAAGTGAAACTGTTGTTTAAAGGTGTCTCTAATACCAAGATCCACTCTTTGAAGTATAATCCACAGAAATTTTGAACTGGAACAATGACCAACAGGAAAGAATGTAACAGTATTTTTTAACAGCACAGATTAAGACAGATCTGGATTTAAAAATATCTCCACTACTTAAAAGCTTTGCTGGGTCCATTCTTTTACTTCTATTAACTTCATTTCTGCATACTTGAGATTAAAGAGATAAAGCCAGGGGGATGCCTATAGCTTTATAAATGGGGGCCATGTGACTCACATATTCAAATAAAACTGATGAAATGTTTTGATTAGAAGTTGTTTCTGACCCTGAGATAAGTTAATAGAATCTCTCATCTCAGAGCCACTTACCTAAACATTCACATTTAACATAATAAATTTTTGGCAGTTTTCTATATAATCAACTAAAAAATGTTTTCAAAGGCAAGAAAACATTTTTTGTGGGTGAATACATTTATACTCCAAATTATTGAAGTCATTGGTACCTCCCTGTGGGATCTGAATACATGTGGATCCTGGGGAAGCAGTCAAGATTTTTAATACCCATGACTTGATATTTGAGGATTTTAGTGTCATAGTCAACTGTTCTTTATAGGGAGGTGATATGGGATTCACCACCCTCAAAAATTAGTCCTAGTCATTGGTAATTGTAGGGAACAGGAGAAAAATAGAAAAGGTTCTTAAAACGGGTCTGGCTGTCATAATATCATCCTTGGATTTCTTCTGGGTCTGAGAGCAGCTTGTTGTAGCTTTCAGACAAAGCAATGAACTCAAAACCTTTTGCCTAGATCTTGTCAAGCTCCATGATTTAGTGATGTCTCCAAGATAAGGCAGCAGCATCCCATGTTACCATGAAGGTAACTTCTTACTTCATGAGAGCCCAGCTCTTCAGTGTATTACTTAAGAATGAAGAAATATTTACTCACTAACATCAATAGGGAGAATTGAGAGATGGAATGTCTCCTTAGATTTCCATGTTAATTTTTCCTGATTATTTTCTCTCAAACATATCATGATTGTATCTACAAAGAATCATAAGATCAGTATGAGAAATAACACAAACCTCTCAAAATGCCTTTTGCAACAATTGGCAGTGATGTGAGCCCCCTCAGCCATTTAATATCCTCCCAGTTGATAGATGGGTCTATTAATTTATGTACATATGTAGCAAGTCCACTGTTGTATCCAAAATTTTCCTTAGGAGAAAATGCTAAATCATTGGTTTCAAAATTTTTCATTCTGCAATAAAGAGATACATAAAATGAGAAACTTCTCAAAGTTAGAGATAATTTTACAATGACTCATTCAATGAAAAATGAAATGTCACCCTTTTCAAATCAAGTAGATGTTCCTCAACCATCTATAGGTTGGTTGCATACATATTTCCTATGTTCTGGTGAAAGATTCCAGGCTAAATGTGACAATCAAGTGGACTTAATTGGTCACTTAAAGTTTATTGTGCATCTTAGGCTACGTTTATATAAAATAAAACAGTTTCAAGGAAAAACATATGGGCAAGTTCCAATATCTCTACCTTTTTAAGCCAGTTTATGAATATAGGCAACAGATTTGATGCTATTTTCAGCCAGCAATGCATATTAATTATAACAACGGACATTTGTTTGGTACATTACAATTTACAAAGGACTTTCATAAACCAGTATTACCACAATTTTTAAGAAAACTTTTAGAAAATAAAATTGATACTTTATGGTTCCCATTTTATATAGAAAATAAAAACAGAAGTGCAGAGCAAGATGTCCCCACAAATGAAATCAGCGTTTGGGCTCCAACCTGTGTCTCTGGACTTTTAATTACATTCTCTCTGCTCAGATCTCAGTTGCACCTTGGCGATTGCTTTTGACTTCAGGAAACTTTCCAATGTCCTTATACAAAATTCTAGAGGAGATTGGAACTGCAGTAACATCAGTTAATAACCTTCTGTCTGCTGTGACTGTAGATGCTTTCTCCTGCCCTACTATTATGGTGGTGGTGGTGGTGGTGGGCACAGGGAGAAGTGGGAAGTGTTTCCCAGCAGATGAGTTGTCAGCTCTTGCTTTTCCCTCCACCATTTAGGTTGTTTTCTCTGAGGCTGTCTGCCTGCTGACTCAAACTTCCCAATCTTTCAGACAATCCTGGCCAGGGCTTGAGCTATCCAATTACCAAGATCTTCATTTCTTTGCCTATAATATGACCGTTAATTTATGTACTAACTTGATTGGGCTAAAGGATGCCTAGATAGCCAGTAAAACATTATTTCTGGGTGTGTCTGTGAGGATGTTTCTGGATGAGATTAAATCGTAGACTAGAGTAAAGATGATAGGCCTCATTGATGTGGGTGGGCATCATCCAATCTGTTCAGGTCCTGAATACAACAAGAAAGTGGAGGAAGGACAAATTTGTTCTCTGTGCTTGAGCTGGGACATCCATCATCTCCTGACCTTGGACATTGAACCTACTGGTTGTCAAGCCTTCAGATTTAGACCAGGACTTACAGTATCATCCCCTGGTTCTTGGGCCTTCAGACTCAGACTGGGACTTACACCATTGATTCCCCTGCTTCTCAGGCCTTAGGCTTTAGACTAGAACTATACCACTGAATTTCCTGGGACTCCACTTATAGACAGCAGATTGTGGGACTTCTCAGACTCCATAACTGCAGAAGCCAATCCCTCCAAATCTCTGTGTGTGTGTGTGTGTATACCCTATTGGTTCTGTTTCTCTGGCAAATCTAATACATGTGACTTTCTCCTGCTCCTGAAGCCTGAGTAACCACCGACACAACAGACTTGAAGTGTCAAGGATGTTGGCATATAAATACCCCAGCTCCCTCACCACTATGAGGGCTAACTCTGAGATAGGTTATACCTCCTCTCCAGAATTTCCCAACAGATTTAAGGTTCAGTTGCCTGCAGTTGGAGCTGTCTTGGTAACATGCCCATTATTTGCTGCCTTCCTTCCTTGCACCACTTCCTCACTCCTCTACCAGTATCCCCTTCATCTTCCAAAGGAACTGCTTGCATTTAAGTCACTGGCTCACAATTTCCTCCTAGGGGAACCCAAACTGAGACACAACCCCATTGAGTTGCTGCCTTTCCCTGTGTCTAATTTTGTTGACCCAACTTAGACCAGGATTTCTCTAACTTACTTGTAAGATTCTGCTACTGGCTCACTCTACATCTGAAATCTTTTCTCTTGGCTTAATATTCTGATATCTTGACTAGATTTTGGCAGTTCCCTGAACTAGAAACAAAGTGTTTTCTGCTTGCACCTCTGATCACTAACTGGATAGATGACCATCTGGATACACAATGGCATCACCCCTGTGACTTAGCTGCCTACAGAAGCAAATCCAATTGCAAACTTCATTTCACTGAAAGGCTGTCTTTGAATGATGACAGTGACCTGGATTCACCTTGCTTTTCTGCACATTATAAATTACTCTGCTAACCAATCTCCAATTTGGGTAAAAGTACAGCTGTATATTAATCTCTGGCTTAGTCATAGGTCTTTCTTTGCTTCTACTAGCTCTGCCATTGAACGTGTAAAGGATTTTGGAGCAATGACTATAACAATTTTTATATAAACCTGGAAGTACATAGGCACACTATTTTTAATTTTTTAAAGACTTACTTTAATACAATGTTTTTAGTATACTTTCAGCTGACATAGCTGGTTGTGTACTTCAAGGGGCATATATTATCATAAGGGCATGAACATTCACATCCCATCAAATTCTATTCAAGCCATTAGCAAAGTTTTCTCAATAAGGATTGAAGGGATGCCTGGTGGCTCAGTCGTTAAGCATCTGCTTTCAGCTCAGGTCATGATCCCAGGGTCCTGGGGTCGAGCCCTGCATCGGGCTCCCTGCTCAGCGGGAAGACTTATTCTCTCTCTCCCACTCCCCCTGCTTGTGCTCCCTCTCTCGCTGTGTCTCTCTCTGTCAAATAAATAAATAAATTCTTTTAAAAAAAATAAGGATTGAACAATTTGTCCTATAGTTTCATTGACTTGGGTAGCCACTAAAGGTAATTCTAAGAAAATTCGAACTTCATGAAAGTCATACTGGTCCCCACCTACTTGTTAGCTTCAGGTCAGATTTTGGCTGAAATATTTGGGCATTTCTTTTTATCAAACCATTTAGGGTTGTGCATTTTTTCACAGCCTTTGGTATTCTGTGGTTGTCTTAATTTGAATTAAGGTACGCTTTTGGTGAATAAACATATCTTTATTATGAAAACCTATTCCATTACCTAGAAATGGTATTAAGTGATATTAAATACCAAACTTTTAAATAATATTGTTAATAAGAAAAAGGTTCAGTCTGTCTATCCTATAGCAAGACCAGGGGGGCAAAGAAGAAAAACATCTGTATGTGTATATACTCTGCTTGGCACCCCACCCCCATCCCAAACAAGCTACAGTGTTTCAGCAGGGGCGGGGTGGAAGGGTGAAATGGATAGGAAAAAACAGAAACATGGATAAAATTATATAAATAACTGTTGTTATTCTTGGATGGTGAAATGCAGATCAACACTTGAATGAATGTTGCCTTACAGAAATTTCAGTGCACAATGAAGCCTTGTTGTTACTCTAAAACGTCGTTCAAAGCCAGAAGCCAAGAGAAAGTTTTCAGATATCTTGACAGAGACCCACGATGGAGTGTTTTACCAGTGCTTCTGAAGGAAACCTCCATGAATACTATTTTTATTCGAATTAGGACACATACACAAAAACCCTTAAAGTGGCTGCTGATAACCAAAGTATTCCATTTCTTGAGGAAGGAAAAGAGCCACATCAAAATAATAACACAATAACTCGGGACTTAATGCTCCAAATCCCGAGCTGTTTAATGACCCAAAGGCAAGGAAAAGAACCAGCCTTGTAAGGACCTCATTGTGCCCTGAATGGCCCCCAAATATACTTTTTAATCTAATATAGAAATTATTTTAGCTTTTAGTAAGTAGTAACAACTACTAAAGAAAGTGAAACATCATTGATTAACCAATAGTAACACTAATGATAATGAATATTATTGAGAAATATATTTTATTTACTATAAGTATTGATGATACGACATTAAAGACAAAGCTATGTGCCTCCATAATGGGAAACAAAATATAAGACAATAACCAGTAGAGCCCATGATATCAACACAATACGAGAAAGGAGGAGAGAGAGAGATTCATAATACATACAGAAATTGGCGCATGGGCCACCAGCATTTAATGCTGATTAGAAAACACTTACATTGAGACCATAGCCCTGCTAATTTCTTCCTCAGTGTGCTGGGCTGTTAGAAGAAACGGGCAAGGCATGGATTTTAAGTTTGAGCTCAAAATATTGTTTAACATTTTAGTAGTCATGTTTTACTGGGCAAATCTCACGTGATCTGATACATTTTTATCTACTGATTCAACATCACTTCTTGAGCACCTACCATGTGCCAGTGTTTTAAATGTTTAGGCTATACCAGTAAGTAAAACAATCAAAAGTACCTGGCCACCTAGGGTTAACATTCTAGCAAGGGGAGACAGCAAATAAACAATAAACATAATAAATAACTTATGGAGCATGTTAGAACATAAGTGCTATATAAAATAAAGGAAAAAAGTAGAGCAGAATAAGAGGATGTGAGCCAGTAGAGGCTGAACTTGAAAGTTTAAATATCATAATCAGACCGGTCCTCACTGAGAAGCTACCTTGTGGAGGACATTAGTGGAGCATTGTTACCGTATTTGTTTCCTGTTCCTGCTATAACAAATGACCACAACCTTTAAAATGACACAGATGAGGGCTTTAAAATGACACAGATTTATTATACTACAGTTCTGGAGGTCAAAAGTCCAAAATGTATCTCCCTGGACTAAACTCGAGGTGTTGATAGGACTGTTTTCCTTCCAGAGGCTCTAGGGAAAAATCCATTTCCTTGCCTTTTCCAGCCTGTAGAGACCTACATGCCCTGACTCCTGATGATATCCCTCCAACTTCTGCTTCCAGCATCATTATCTCTTCTGACTCTTGACACTCCTGCTTCCCTCGTCTAAGGACCCTTTTAATTACGTTAAGCCTACTGGGATAATCCAGGATAATCACCCCATCTCAAGGCCCTTAACTTAATCACATTCAAAGTCCATTTTGCCACGTAAAATAACATATTCATAGGTTCCCGGGATTAGGACATGAATGTCTTTGGGAGCTTGCTATTTTGTTTAACACAGTTATATTGTGAATGTTTTCCTAAACCAAACAATTTAGAGGCTGTTGGCCCACGTACCCGGTTCTTCACAAATCTCTCTCCCTGCAAACCCTGTCCAGGGTCCCCATACATATTGTATCTCTATTCTGATCTCTACTACTTATTTTTATTTCGGTTTCCCACTAGAAAGACACGTAGATCCATCCTTGATGTCAAAGCCTAAAGGAAGGGAGGAAGTCAGTTGTGCATGGATTGGAGGAAAGATGTAAAAGGCAGAGGGAGGAGTCAGTTCTGAGGCTCTCGGGCACCAGCAAGCCTGGCGTGTTGAAAGGACCCTAAGGTAGCCTGTGCAGCTGGGAAGAGTGGATGGAGGTGAGGGTGCCAGGTGGTAAGGACTGAGTGGTAACTGGGTCCTGCTCACAGAAAGCCCCACAGGCTACTTTTATCACCAGAACTCTGGGAAGGCAATGGCCATCTGATCTTTTTCTGTGTGATCTGTTCTGCCCGTCATGATTAATGAATCATTTCAGGGCTATAGGGTTATAGGCACACAAATAGTTTTTGGTGTCATGTTTTACTTTGATCTTAGTCAATGATTGGAAATGCCTTTTCTTCCCTTTCAACTGCCCTGGTGCTCCACGAAAGACCCAAGGCTTTACCCAGGGTAAATGAACCATCTCCATGGGGTAGAGAGAGAGGAAAAAGGCCCCTGCCTCAAAGCCTGAGGAAATGAGTCTAGGGAACTGGCCTCACTCCTTGCTTCTTCCAAGAGCAGATGAGAATTTCCCTTACTCCCCCTCAGTTTCAGGAACCTCTGTGCCATTCATAATACACACATACATGTGTTTTGCGTATAGACCAAGCAGAGACTACCACACTCCTGAACTCTGGCTGGTCCCTGATGCCGAGAGTCAGGACCCTCCCCCCCCCCCCCCCCCCCCCCCCCCCCCCCCGCAACCCCCCTCTTCCCAGGCAGAGGAAGTAGCTAGGGCTGGAAGGAGCCACTGCTTTACAGACTCATTCTTCTCTGGATTTCCTGCCTCTCCCGCCTGCCAAACCTCACTTCTGAAAAGCCCGGCTTCACCTTCTATGAGTCAGGTCAGTGGCAGAAAAAAACCTGATTTCATATCAGGCTGTAACAGATGAGCTTTTTGGTTGTATGTGGCCTCAAGCGGAAGCCTGGGCCTCCCATTAGCGTGCTCTGCCTTCGGCTGCCGAATGTGGGCTGCTGAGGAGAGAACCTAGAGGGCACTGGCCTGCCCTGAAGCCCACGAGGACAAACAAGGACAATGTGCGCTCCAGGGGCCCAGGGCACCAGGCTGTGGGGTGTTTCCTGTGTTCCCCGTAACCTGGATATGTTGCTCATTATTTGATCATCTTCAGATGGGAGATGTGACAAGCTGGGGAGTCATGGCCACTCGTGAGCACATCGACAGCTGAAAAGGGCCTTTGTCTCCCTCCTGGTCCTTCTCATCATCTGGGCTGGAGCCCAGGAGCAAAGGAAAGGGGGAAAAAGCAGATCAACCTTCCAGCTCCTGACTGAGTGACCTGGCACAGATGACCTGTGTCATCTCCCCTGCCTGAATAGATACCGCTGTGAAACATGGTTTGTTATCCAGAACAAGAAAGTGCTTCTTAAGCCGCAAAAACACCCTACTGTATTCTTTGTTATTGTTGTTGTCAGGAGTCGTAGTAATGAGAGGAGGAGAAAGAGGAATAGCAAATTCTCTTTCAAATGTCCAAAGGGAAATCATGAGGAATGTTTCCTGTCAGAAGGCTAAATAGTGTGAAACTAATTATTTTAGAAAGTCTAATAAATAAGGTAACCAAAATAGAGAAATAAGGTGAATACAGATTTCGTATTAGGGGAATCGGAAGCCATCTAGTTTGGATGAATTTGGCAAGAAGTAGGAATATGTCAGGACTTTTGTTTTTTGTTTCTGTTCTCTGAGAAAGACAAGGTGTTTGGGTAACCCAGTGTCTGGGATACAGGGAATGAGGGTATTGACAGCTCTGTCAAGACAGCATTTTCTCTTTTGTCATTGGGTTATTGAAGGTACCACATACACAAATAATATCCTAAACCCACCTGGAAGAATCACAGAGATAGCCGCACACAACTAATTTACATATGGTTCAGTGGCAAGATTTTATGCACAATAGTTTATACTCAGATAGGTGTATACACAGCAGAGCTACATAATAGTTCTATGACACTCATATAAGACTGTACATGGACTTATGTGGTGGCTGAGACACATGTCACTCTCTAATATACATGGAACTCCTACCTTCTAACAATCCTCTTACTTATATGGAATGCTGATTTGCTTTTGAAATCTTTTGGATTTGAATCTTTTCACATATAGATAGAGTAAGCAACGGCCCATTGTAAAATGAGGTCCAGGATCCAAGGAAAGCATCCTTTATCATTTCACATACTCTGATGTATGCTTTGAAATCCCATCATCAAAATATCCTTCATTAAAACTAAGATTTTGATTCTTATTCAGATAGTTTTATCCCTGAAAGCTATTAGTCACATACTGGCATGAAAAACTCAAGAGCAGATTTTGAGGGGAACTGGGGGAAGGCAAAAACAAAGGGGGAAAAAATAGGGAGGTGAGGGTCTTTCTCAGTAAACTCCCTGAGTTCCTAGCTTTGACACAAGATGATTCTAGTCCTAAAATATTACAGGGAAAAGGATAGTTCCTCGCTAATGGACAGGCTGAATGACCTGATAAAACCATCAGAGTTCTATTTTGATTACTAAATATGCTAAGATAAATGAGTGAATGAGTGAATGAATGACTCTTGACCCATTGATGAACCACAATGAAAGAGGAATATTGCTAAAAGAAGAAGATAGGGGATCAAACATGTGGCTTCTTTTGTCTCTATTCTTTTAGCTTTTTTTAATCTTCCTAGACACAGTTGTTCCAAATACAATTAAAAATAAAACTAATAGGTGGCTCGTTGATTTCAACAGACAAAGAAATGCGCTTACCTCTAGAACCCAGAGCCTATTATTCCTAAACAAGGTCCCTGCCAATCGTACTTCCGTACCAATGTTTTGTGAAGAATCTAATTCCCCATGGCACCCATGTGGAAACTGGGGGGAAAATAGCCTTCGGAGCTGGTACATGACAAGAGTGAAGAGAATTAGAAGAACCGCTCAGGGGCCCAGGTGATCAGAGACCCATGGTTACCTGAGTTGAGGTGGTAGTTTGAACCTATTACGCACATCGTCAAAGCGGATCCCCAGGTAAGGAGTGTCCACCGTCAAAAATATGGCCTTGTAGCCCTTTCGCTCAGCACGTTGCACTAGCTGCTTAGTGACCTCACGGTCCTTGTAGATGTATAGTTGCAGCCAGCGTAGTGTCTCGGGACTGGCCTCTGCCACTTCTTCAATTGAGGAGGTGGACCATGAACTCAGCATCATTCCAGTTCCCAGGGACCTGCAGGCTGAGGAAGAAAGGAGAAGATAAAGGCGAGCCTGGCATTTTCCCCACCCCAAAGCCTTCAGGTTGTTGTTCAAGGAGTAGAGACATCTACAAGGGCAATCAGGCAATAAGAAGTCAATTCTTGAAAAAGTTAGAAATATGCATTCCTTTCTACACTCTGCCTTGATCTTAGAGACAAAAGTGAGTCAAACAGCCAAAGATGTTTTGTGTATAAGGATGAAAAAATTGGGAACAACCTGAATCTCCATCCTTAGGGGATTGCATACACTGTAGTTCATATATTTTTGTGATAAGGTTAATTTTGTGCATCAACTTGGCTAGGTGATGGTTCCCAGAATTTGCTTGAATACACTGGATGTTCCTGTGAAGGTATTCTTCAAAGGAGATTAACATTTAAATAAGTAGATTTTGAGTAAGGCAGATTGCTCTTCGTAATGTGAATAGGACTCACCTGACCAACTGAAGGCCTTCCGTGAGGGTTTTGTTAGCAGGTTGCCTTCAGACTCAAACCACATCAACTCTTCCCTAGGTCTCCAACCTGCCAGCTTACCCTTTCGATTTTTTTTTTAAGATTTAATTTGTTTATTTGTCAGAGAGAGAGAGAGAGAGCACAAGCAGGGGGGGAGAAGCAGACAGAAGGAGAAGCAGGTTCCCTACTGAGCAGGGATCCTAATGCGGTATTCGATCCCAGGACCCTGGGATCATGCCGGAGCCGAAGGCAGATGCCCAACCGACTGAGCCACCCAGGCACCCCTACTTTTTAGATTTTTGGACTTGCCAGTCTCCACAACTGCATGAACCAGTTCCCCAAATCAATCCCCCCACCCTCACCTCTCTTTCTCTCTCTCTCTCCATATATGTACATATTCTGTTTCCAACGATTACAGTTATAAAAGAATATTACTATTTGTGGACACAGAAAGATTTTCAAGATGTATTAAAAAAACAAAAAAGTCTACAAAATGACCCATACAACATAATTCCACATTTGTACAAATGTGCTTATTGGTATATAACCCTAAACTGATTGCTAATGATAGGTCAGAGAATTATGGGTGCGTTAAATTTTTTTCTTCCTTTTTAACTTCTAAAATTTTATCTTTAAAAATTTTGTTCAAGGCGCATTCTACCTGTTGTATTTTTAAATTTACAAAATACATATACTAGACACCCCAAGTAGACAGCTGTTCCCTCACAATCTTTTGAGCAAGATATCAAAAAATGAGTGCAGTGAAAGTGAAAAATAAGTAATAAAATTAGATTCACCCACCCAATTGTCTTAGAGAACTTGAAAGAACATGGGTGATAGGCTTTTCACCAAAAATAGGTAAAAGCCCGTAAAACTGGGGTCGGCTTTAGTGGAGGAGAAACTGATATAATGTTTATATCCCAAATACCAAATATGGCAAGAGACAATAATAAATATATAAAACTGACTAAATGACCCTGAGTCATTCAACTTAGCTATGTGCCTGACGTATATCAAATGGCAGTTGTCCAAGTGACACTCATCAAGTGATGCTGAGAATATAGTGATGTGTTATTCAAAACACTACTTTGAGAAACTAAAATGTTTCCTTGCTTCTCAGACTTTAAGGGACAGCCAGATCCCCCTGGAACACTTGTGAAAACACAGTGTGCAGACATCCTCCCAGAATTTCTGATTCAGTGGGTCTGAGATGTGGCCTGAAAATTTGCCTTTCCACCTATTTCCCAGGGGTGCTGATGCTGCCAGTCCCTTGTACCACACTTTGAAATTTAAATAGTAGCAGTATCATTTGGTAGTAAATCTCTAAGTTCACATGGTAATAAAATAGATTTTGTTTTTGATAAAAATTACTTTTCCTATGCCTTTGAAGGTGTTTTTCATCCCTGTTGTTCAGGTGACAGTTCAAAAAGAGAAGACCTAAACTGGAGATGATCTTGTCCATGGGTCACTAATCTGTCCCCACCGAGTGGGCCTTTGAGAAATTCTCTCAAGAGACTCGTGACTTACAAAACAGTGTCTAAAAAACCACACATTTTATTAAGTAATAACACATATGAACATCTAGACCATTGTCTGATTTTCATTAAGACTTATAAACATGAAAAATAACTCCAGGTCATCTACTGCAGTTTGGAAGGAACACCAGGGGACATTGATCAGGTCAGGATCCCTTAACCAACAATTTATCATAAAGAAAATATGTCCTGAAGAGGATGTGACCTAACTAAGGTCCCACAGAAATGGAGAGCTGAGTGGGATGAGAACCCAGCATGTCTGACCGTTTCTCCAAGGCAACGATCTTGCTAGAATGCTCAGATGCCCACAAGACTCCCTGGTATCAAGCATAGATAAATGCACTCCCCTAATCCTTTGGGGCCATGGCACCCAAAGGGAATAGGTTCGCAACATCCCTCAAGGATGCCACCATGCCGATAGCTCTGGGAAGGCAGGGAAACTGGAAATCTATGGATGGGACCTGCTACGTACTGCCTGTGCAGGGTGTGGTTACGCAAAGGAGTTCAGCTAAGAGCACCATCAAATGATGGGACACCTTTTTGTAGTTTACACAAAGGCATCATGTAGATGAGCAGCTGTTCTATCAATAAGGATCAAAACTTCTCAAAAAGATCTCCTTGTAGGGGCGCCTGGGTGGCTTAGTCATTAAGCGTCTGCCTTCAGCTCAGGTCATGATCCCAGGGTCCTGGGATTGAGCCCCGCATCGGGCTCCCTGCTCAGAAGAGAGCCTGCTTCTCCCTCCCCCACGCCCCCTGCTTGTGTTCCCTCTCTCGCTGTGTCTTTCTCTGTCAAATAAATAAATAAAATCTTAAAAAAAAAAAATCTCCTTGTATTCCTAGGAAACACAGACACTCCACAAAGACCATTAAAAAAAAATCCTTAAGCTATCACTCTTGCAGGAGGTGTCAACTTTCACAAACATTTTGCCCGCTTCCCCTGGGTAGGCATGTCCAGAGAAAAGCAAGGCCAGCCGATGGCATCTATTTCCTGAGTCTCCTGGCTCTGGTACTAATGACTCCTGATGTTGGAGTCATTATTTTTCAAAGATTAAATCATATGGGGCTGAGATTTTGAGTCAAGGATGTTCAAAAGTCTAAGTAACCAAGTTGTAGGCATTCAATAAATGTTTGGTGATTTAATGAATTTACTCCAAGAGAGTCTCCTAGTTGCAAGAAGAATATCAGAGTCTGTGCTGACATTTTATGAGTTGAGGCTAAGATATTACTCTCAGGAGAGAACAGGAGCAAAACTTAGAAGGCTTCATGCTCCTTGGAACGTATATTCCTGACCACTGTGATCCCCACTCACTTGTGATCATGTGCCGTGATAAAGGCAAATTACTGATGAATTACAACTATGGTTTTCAACACAGCTTATGTGAGAATGAGATGAGGGACCCTGGGATTTTGCAAGGACCATTCCGAGAGACAATCACAAATTTACCTGCTAAAACATTGAAGCATTTCCATTCCAACTGGTAAATAACCATGGCTCTGAAGTAAATGACCCTCCTTTCTGAGTCCCTTCAATGTGGCATCACTCCCTTCTCTCCTCAAGGAATCCCTGGACCCCCCTCCCCCACATGTACATTCCAGAAATTTAAAGGTCAATTCCTGGCAGAGCTGGGGGCATTCAGAATGCTGCTAGAGCACTAGAAATGAGCCTCTGAGCATCTCTTCTAATCGGTTGAAGGGCTTTGTTGTACTGGTTGCTAAATATTTCATATGTCATTTTTGCCTGAGAAATAAACATAATTCCCTTCTAGCTCACATCACTCTTCTGGGGACAAAAATTGCAGGCTTGATTTTATAAATGACTTGGCATAGTCAGACTTTGTTAAGAAAGTCTAAGTAGAGTTATCCTAGTCCAGTGCTTGAAAGCACAAATGTTTCTGAAGTCCATTTTCTCTCCCTATTCATTTTCCACAATGAAACTGACCTCTGGCTCTCAAAACAGCAACTCTCAGATTTCATTTTAAAGGGACAGCAGTGCACTTGCATGGTATGACGTAAGACTCCGGGGCATGCTGCTTTTCCACAGCTCTTAGCAAAATGGATATCACATCTGAGGTAACAAAGACAAGGCCTGGCTCTTGCTCCTAATGTTGATCCAATTCTAAAAATCTTGGCTTTCATTATAGTCAGCTTATCCTAGAGATAAAGTGTCCAGGAGGATACACCATCAAGTAAACACTGATCCCATATGACATTCCACAATTCTATTTCCTTATTTCCACTCCCTTCCTCTTTTATCATCCTTAAGATATATTTTCAAGAATAAACACCTAAGAGGTGCCCAGGGTGGCTCAGTTGGTTAACTGTCTGTCTTCGGTCCAGGTCATGATCTCAGGGTCCTGGGATTGAGCCCCGCATTGGGCTCCCTGCTCAGTGGGGAGTCTGCTTCTCCCTCTGCACGCTCTCTCTCTCTCTCTCAAATAAATAAATAATCTTAAAAAAATAAACATCTAAACTTTTAATGCTCTAGATGTATTCAGATTTTTTTTCTCTTCTTTACTTAGGGACACTGGTAATACACTATTGCCATTGCTATAAAAAATGCATATGAGATACATACACGCACATATCACTAAAAGAGACATGAGTAAGGTTGTGGACATTAAAGCATTGAAGATAAAACCCTAGAAATGACCTAGGTGATAATATATATCTCTTGAAAAGACAACACGATATAATGGATTGAGTCAGAAGGCCTGAGCGACTGTCCCAGCCTTGCCATACGTGAGGCACATTTCATCTGCAAAACATCTACCACCACAGCTGCTTTCTTGTCCACTTCATGGCATTGCTGGACAGCCCACTGAGGCAAGGTTTGTGAACATTTTCTGCGTAAATTCTGAAGCCATGTATTATAAAGGGTTAAGTGAGAGAATGCCTAACACCATTTGGAAAAAGAAGTCCTAGATAGGTAGCCTCAGAAATTTAGAATTTTGCCAAGGACCTGGGTTTCTTATCATTGCTCATAATCTTCTTCACACC